TAAGTGTTGCTTCCTAAAGTGTTGATTCTCTTGAAATATTTTCTGAGATTGTTGGAGTCAAGAAAAACCTTTCGATTTTATTTTCTGTTGTTGCTTGGTTGCCGTTTGTACTTAATTTTCTCTTTTTTAAAATTTTTTTTAATTTTTATTTTATAAGATGGGGTTTCACCATGAATGGCCAGGCTGGTCTTGAACTCCTGACCTCAGGTGATCCACCCACCTTGGCCTCCCAAAGTGCCAGGATTACAGGCGTGAGCCACCGCGCCCAGCCCTATACTTAATTTTCTCAACAGAGATGAAAGCCATAGGAAAATAAAATTCCTTTGCCTTCACTGGATAACAGAAATACAAATTTACAGCCTGATAAGGCAAGAAATGATCTTTAATTTGGTCTCTTCTCCTAACCCAAAATTGTTCAGGAAAATTAAAATCGATTTTGCATGTTGAAATCTTCATGAATGAAATTTCACTATCTTTTTTTTTCTTTGAGACAAGTCTTGTATTTTTGCCCAGACTGATCTCAAACTCCTCACTTCCAGCAATCCTCCCACCGCTGCCTCCCAAAATGATTGGATTGCAGGCATGAGCCACTGTGCCCAGTCCACTTTTCTTTAAATTGAGGAGACTTGTCCTTTCTGGGCCCCTGCTCTTGGGTAGTGGTGATGCTTGGCTGTGAGAAGGGTGTTTCTTCAAGATGTCAAGGTGAAAAGAGGGTAGAAAGAATGCTTGGCCAAACCGTGCTATAGTTAGTACGTTCTAGCCTGATAATCATCATGCTGGAAAGCAATCTTCTGTATCGCTGCTTGCTATGACAACCCTGCTTCTGCTGAGGAATGTGGGGTCACAATGTTACTGTAATGCAGTTCCATTTCTTTTCTTTTTTCTTTTTTTTTTAAGATGGGGTTTCACCATGATGGCCAGGCTGGTCTTGAACTCCTGACCTCAGGTAATACACCCACCTCGGCCTTCCAAAGTGCTAGGATTACAGGCGTGAGCCACCGCGCCCAGCAATGCAGTTCCATTTCTTAGAGAATGCCACTCCCATTCAGGTGCCTGGGGGCTTCCAACCGTCTGGGTCATGCTCCTGACTTTTCTTGATTACGTAGTCCAAGGAAGGAAGATAAAGCAGATTTCAAAAAACAGAAAAGCTCACAATAAACTTCCATACATCTATATCCTTCAATACATTTCAGACATGTATATCCAGTAGCAGGAGCTTCTCAGACCCTTTCATACTCTCCAGTACGGTACATGCTGCTGCTTTTTTTTTTTCTTTCTGGAGACAGAGTCTCGCTCTGTAGCCCAGGCTGGAGTGCAGTGGCACGATCTCAGCTCACTGCAACCTCCACCTCCTGGGTCCTGGTTCAAGCAATTCTCTTGCCTCACCCTCCGCAGTAGCTGGGATTACAGGCACACGCCACTATGCCCAGCTAATTTTTGTATTTTTAGTAGATAGGGGGTTTCATCATGTTGGCCAGGCTGGTCTTAAACTCCTGACCTCTTGATCCGCTCGCCTCTGCCTCCCAAAGTGCTGGAATTACAGGCATGAGCCACCATGCCCATACATGCCGCTTCTTCATAGGATATTTTCTTTCCCTTTTGTCTCGTTTTGTCGCACAGGCTGGAGTGTGGTGGCATGATCTCCACTCACTGCAACCTCCACCTCCTGGATTCAAGCGATTCTCCTGCCTCAGCCTCCCGAGTAGCTCAGACTACAGGTGCCCACCACCACACCTGGCTAATTTTTTTGTATTTTTTTAAAGATGGGGTTACCCCTTGTTGGCAGGCTAGTCTCACACTCCTGACCTCAGGTGATCTACCCACCTTGGCGTCCCAAGTGCTGGGATTACAGGCATAAGTCACCATAGCTGGCCTCAAAGAATATTTTCAATACATCTCTCTCATGCTCAAACACCTCTAAAAGCTGCCTAAATTCCCCATCCTCAAATTTGAGGGCATTTAATCAACTTCTGTCACCCTCACTTTTCCTAGCTGAGGTCTCATCATTCCCCAGCCAAGAAACTCCCCATTAGCCAAGCTCAAAAATTAGCCAGGTGTGGTGGTGGACTCTTGCAGTTTCAGCTACTCAGGAGGCTGAGGCACTAGAATAGCTTGAACCCGGGAGATGGAGATTGCAGTGAGCTGAGATCACACCACTGCACTCTAGCCTGGGCAACAAGGTGAGACTCTGTCTCAAAGATAGATAGATAGATAGATAGATAGATAGATAGATAGATAGATAGATAAATAGATAGATAGAGGCAATTGGGGCCCACTGGGTCATTTTAAACAGAAGAGTGCCATGGTCCAAATTGCTTTTCTTTCTTTCGTTTTTTCTTTGAGACAGACTCTTGCTCTGTTTCCCAGGCTGGAGTGCAGTGGCGCAACCTTGGCTCACAGCAACCTCCACCTCCTCCCTGGTTCAAGCAATTCTCCTGCCTCATCCTCCCGAGTAGCTGGGATTACAGGCATGCACCACCACACCCAGCTAATTTTTTTTTTTTTTTTTTAGTAGAGATGGGGTTTCACCATGTTGGCCAGGATGGTGTCGATCTCTTGACCTTGTGATCCACCTGCCTCGGCTTCCCAAAGTGCTGGGATTACAGGCGTGAGCTTTTTGTTTTTGAGACAGACTTTCACTCTTGTTGCTCAGGCTGGAGTGCAACGGCGCGCTCTGGGCTCACTGAAACCTCTGCCTCCTGGGTTCAAGTGATTCTCCTGCCTCAGCCTCCCAATCAGCTGGGATTACAGGCATATGCCACCATGCCCAGCTAATTTTGTATTTTTTAGTAGAGATGGGTTTTCTCCATGTTGGTCAGGCTGGTATGTATGTATGTATGTATGTATGTATGTATGTATTTATTTTATGACAACCTTTAATCCATCTTGAATTAGGCTAGTCTTTAACTCCCAACCTCAGGTGATCCACCTGCCTCAGCCTCCCAAAGTGCTGGGATTACAGGCGTGAGCCACTGCACCTGGCCTCTCCCAGTTATTAAATGAAAAACCAATGTAGATTTTGCAGTGGCAAAATTTAACAGACGTAATTAAGGTTCCAGATTAGATGTTTTTAAGATAGGGAGATTATCCACAAGGGGGGCCTGACATGATCTGATAAGCCTTTAAAGTAGACTGGGCTTTTCCTGAAAACAAGATTCAAAGAGGGAGAAGGATGCAGTGGGAGAGAAATTCTCTGTTGATGACTTTGAAGATGGAGTAGGCAATGTGGCAAGGAATGTAGGTGGTCTCTAGGAGCTGAGAGTAGTTCCCAGGTGGCAGCTAGCAAGGAAATAGGTACCAAAGTCTTACAATTGCAATGAACTGGGCTTGGCCAACAACTTGTAATTTGTTAAGCAGTGATGAATATGAATGCATTTGCTTTTGTAGATCTTGCTTTTGTTGATTTCACATGTGTGTATGTGTGTTAGTAGACTGCAAGTTCCTAGATAAGAGGAAAAGGATTTTTTAAAAAAATTTTTGTACCCCCTTTCTACTACAACCATAATGTGATGCTATTAGGGAGACTTGTCTTAACTGATATGTTGGAGTTAATGGGAGATAAGAAATCCTTGATCATGGAAGTACCTGTTGTTAAGCAGCAGCTAGAATCACTACCATTGTCAAGTGCCTCCTGCCTCTCATGTTAGAAACAAATTTCTGCACATCTGATATCTTCTGGACATCTTCACGGGGATGTCTCACCAGTCCCATGAACTCAGTAAGTCCCACTCGAAATTTCCTCTCCCAAACTTGTCCCTCTCTCTCTATTCTGTAATTCTGCTAATGGCACCTTCAGATCCCCAGTTATCTTGGGGTTTAGAGTTTCAGCCACTGTTGACTCCTTCCTCTCTCTCGCCTCCATGTTCAACGTGTTGCCAGGTCTTCCCCATTCATTCGTATCCTACTCGCCTTTATTGTCACTGTCTGGTTCTGTATCTCGCACCTAGAATACTGCAAGAGTCTCCTGCCTGCTCTCTTGAGATCAATTTCTGATAAGCACAGCTCTAATGATGTCACTTCCCTGCTCAATGGACTTCCAAAGAATCCATTAGCTTGGCATTCGAAACTCTTGATGGCTTAACCCAAGCCTACCTTTCTATTTTCAGTAATTTTTAAATGTGTATTATGCCTATCTTCTAAGTTATTTTGGGTTGACCTTTAAAAATTCTCCTTTAAAACTGTTATTGCTTTTGCAGGTCCACCTACTGCGACTCTTCCTGCCACCTGCAGCTCTTCTAAGTGCATCTTACCGTTCCTTTGACTTCAGACCCACTGTCCCTGCAGTCGGATAGTCTCATACCTTGGATTCTTCTGAACATATAATAGCCGCTTGGCTTGTTGAACTACCAAGGGAAAAATGTGGTTCCAGAGCCAAATTGTGAGTGCCCAAAGCAAAAAAAAAAGAAAGAAAGAAAAAAGAAAACAACAACAACAACAACAAAAACCTACTCTGCCTGCCTTAAGCTCTAATTTCATTCTCCTCTGGGGTAATCATTGGCCTAAGCGTTGAGCGCCCAAGCCTGCATTTAGTCCCACAGCACCCCCCGATCAGAGTCAAGGCCGATTTATTCTTTTGATTTTCCGTGATTTTAACCAATCACCACCCTCCCCACCTCCGCCCTCAGTCTCCGATGTCCGCAGGGCTTGGGCATGCTAGAGTTGCCGCTTTTTGAGAACCGGTTTTGCCTCCGCCCACTCCTCCGTCCTCTGGTTTGGGACTTCCAAACTTCTCCTCTCCTCCTCCCGGGGCATGGTGCGCACTTTCATGAATGATCTGGTCACAAAACAACAGCAACAGCAAAAAGAATAGAGAAATAAACATTTAAAAAGCCAAAAACTTCCCAAGGTTTGCATTAGAATTGGCAGGTGGGGATGGACCCCGTTCCACCACGAGGTCCTCCAGCGCCCGGGGCTCCCGCGTAGCCAGCGCCTCTGCCCTCCTGGCCCCGCCCCGGGCCTCCCGCGGGGCTTTAATGACATAAGCAACTTTCCTCCAGCACCCCCCGCCCCGTCTTGGTATGGCCTGTCCGGCGCTCGACGTTCCACCCCCCTCTCTCTGCTTTCAGGTTGGTTCATCCCCCGTCTACACTGGGGTGGTGCTTAGCCGGCGCCAGACCGACCCTCGACTTCGGAGAGGTAGCGCGGTACCTTTGGGTGCTTCCGCCTCCCCTTCTCCGGCTGCTTCTGCCTCCTCGGCCTCCTCGCCCGCCGCGGGAACCCGAGACCCCAGTGTATGCCCCAGCCCTAACCCCGTTCGCGATATGTCCACCCCGGCTCGCCGGCGCCTCATGCGGGACTTCAAGAGGTAAACTGAGGGGACGGCTGAGGCCGGGGGCTGCTAGCCGGGGCACAGGGCGGGTCCCGAGGCGCGCCTGGCGGGGAGGGCTGGGGAGCTGCCGGGAGCGGGCGCCAGTGCCGGCCTAGGGGGACCCCTGTCTGTCTTCCGGAAGGTTGCAGGAGGATCCTCCAGCCGGAGTCAGCGGGGCTCCGTCCGAGAACAACATAATGGTGTGGAACGCGGTCATTTTCGGGTGAGTCTGCGTTCGTGGCGGTGGCGAGGGACCTGGGGACGTGAGCCTTGGTCTGCTCTCCGGGGCCGGCCCCCCGCGGAGGCCAAGGGGGTCGGGGAGAATGTTTGGGTCTGGCTGGGCCTAGGCGCCTCCTCGGAGCCTGTGCCTCGATTAGCTCAGTTCCCGCTGCCAGGGGGAACCGCTTGGGGTTCTAGGGGGGCGGGGCGGGGAGTGGTGGCGGTTAGGCGCGGCGGCCTGCACTGTGTCTCTGAACCCAGGACATCTATTTGTAGTGGCTTCCGACCCAGGCAGCAGTGCTGGAGATGGCAGGGCTTGGGATAGCCATCTCAGATGAAACAGGGAGAAGGGGGCCCCTTAAGCGGGAACTGACCATTTTTCTCTGTGTTGCAGGCCTGAAGGGACCCCATTTGAGGATGGTAAGAGAGAGTTTCTTTACCCACCTTTCAGGAGCCTGATCACCTGGGGAAAGGGTTCCCAGTCATCCTGGAAGTGTCTCCTACTTAGGAACCTGCCTCTGCCTAGCCTCTGTCTGCTAAAGGCTTGAATGGAGTGCAGTGTGTGGCTGGTTGTTCTGGATATTGTATGCTTGACTAGAACTGCACCTTTCTTCTTGCTTTCTTTGTAAAATAGTCTGGGTACGGCAGTCACTTTTTAAAAGGAGCAATCATAGCCCTGGTATTAAGGATTTTCGAAGCTTGGGCTGTGATTCTGCTAAATTCAGCCCTCCATCACTGAATTAGTATAAACCCAACCAGTTGCTGACAGTCAGCAGAGACCCCAGAGACCGTCTGGTTCAGAATTCTACCCCATGGGCAGGAATTGTGTTCAGCAGGGGCTTGATAGGTGTGTGTTGGATGTTGAATCCCTTACATACAACTGTCTGGTTTCTACAATCGGACATTGAATGCCTGTCAGCCTCACTGCTCTAAGATGGTCTTATATGTCTAAGTTGAATATAGTATTCTTTCTTGTCTTTTTTTTTTTTTTTTTTGAGACGGAGTCTTGCTCTGTTGCCCAGGCTGGAGTGCAGTGGCACGATCTCCACTCACTGCAAACTCCGCCTCCCGGGTTCAGCAATTCTCCTGCCTCAGGCTCCTGAGTAGCTGGGATTACAGGCCCGCACCACCACGCCCAGCTAATTTTTGTACTTTTAGTAGAGACAGGGTTTCACCATGTTGGTCACGCTGACCTTGTGATATGCCCGCCTCGGCCTCCCAAAGTGCTGGGATTACAGAGGTGAGCCACCGCCCCTGGCCATTCTTTCTTATTTTTAAATGAATTTGCAGTGTGTGCTTTCATCAAGACATTATGGTCAGTAATTTCAAAGCAGCTTCACAATTGAAGTTTGCGTTAATGTACCCTTTTGATCAGTGTCCAGCCTACTTGAAGATACTGCATGTACCAGTAGCTACATAATTTGTAAATGATTTAGGTTTGACTTTTAAAAACACATATATAAATTGCTTTTTTAAAACTTTATGGGTTTAGATAATTATAGATTCATATGCAGTTGCAGGGAATAATAGAGACACCCTTTATACACTTAACTCAGTCCTCTCCCAAACCCTCCCGTTTGGTAATATCTTGAATGACTAAACCCTATCACAACCAGGAAAATGACATTGATTGTTCTATACTCAGGTGTCTGTGTAGTGTGTGTGTGTGGTTATTTTTTCAAAGTTTAATACATTTAAAGGATGATTAAAGTATTGGAACTCATGAAATTCTTTAATATTTGAGGTGTTTTAAAAAAAGGAAAGGGGTCTTTCTGTTTTTTCTTCGATGATTTATCTTCCTTCGGTCACATAGCATTTACACACACACACGCACACACACACTTCAGTTTGAAGATGGGAACAAAAACATTTCTGCAAACTACTTAATACGTACTTACGTTGCTGAGACGGATTGCATTTTGATGCCACCAGTCTACAAAACGTTGTGAGGTAAGTCAATATCAACTAAGTCTATAATTCATCTCAAATACTTAGATTTCCCCAGGAAACTGTGGACAATCACCTGAATATTTTCAGCTTCCTCTCTGCCTTTACCTGCTGGGTAAATATCTTTGCTCTTCAGGGATGCAATGAAATGACAGCAAGAGACAGTGATTGTAAGGGCATACTACTTTGGCTCAGTTAATAATTTGAACTGATCTGTAGCAAGAAAAGTATAGCTAGACCTAATTTTCCTCTACCATATTGGCACTAGTTCTTTATACTTGAGCTTTAAATGTACAGATTAACTGTGTATTTGCTTTAGCTCTAGAAGGCTTTGTTTTCTTGTTTTCTTTCGTTTGAGACAAGTCGTCTTATCACCCAGGCTGGAGTGCAGGGGCGTGATCTCGGTTCACTGCAACCTCTGCCTCCTGGGTTGAAGCGATTCTCCTGCCTCAGCCTGAGTAGCTGGGATTACAGGCACATGCCACTACACCTGGCTAATTTTTGTATTTTTAGTAGAGATGGGGTTTTACCATGTTGTCCAGGCTGGTCTCGAACTCCTGACCTCATGATCTGCCTGCCTGGGCTTCCCGAAGTGCTGGGATTATAGGCGTGAGCCACCATTCCCGGCCTCGGCTTTGTTTTCATTGGCTTCTTTTTTCCTCGTTTTACTCTGTTTTATGCTGGGCACAGCTTTATTAATAGTACATCACTTTGTTGGGGGTTGGCTACCTAGATATTTCAAGGGTGCTTCTCTTAAGTGGTATGAATTGAAAAGGTACTTACTGAATCCATTATCTGCCAGGACTGTCGGCTTTGACATTACTGACTCTATTTTTGATGATGTGTATCTCCATCCTAGCATTATTGACTCAGGCTGGCTGATTTGTTCTGTTGAACAGTCTGCTACCCGTGGATGCTTCCTCAGGTGTTTGGAACACTGTGGCTCCCCAAAAATATTTTTTAAACCTTTTTTTTTTTGAGATGGAGTTTTGCTCTTCTCACCCAGGCTGGAGTGCAATGGCACGACCTCAGCTCACCGCAACCTCTGCCTCCCAGGTTCAAGCAATTCTCCTGCCTCAGCCTCCGAAGTAGCTGAGATTACAGGCACCCGACACCACAACCCAACTAATTTTTTTTTTTTTTTTTTTTTTTTTTTTTGAGATGGAGTTTTGCTCGTTACCCAGGCTGGAGTGCAATGGCGTGATCTCGGCTCATCGCAGCCTCCACCTCCTGGGTTCAGGCAATTCTCCTGCCTCAGCCTCCTGAGTAGCTGGGATTACAGGCACGCGCCACCATGTCCAGCTAATTTTTTGTATTTTTAGTAGAGACGGGGTTTCACCATTTGACCAGGTTGGTCTCGATCTCTTGACCTCGTGATCCACCCGCCTCAGCCTCCCAAAGTGCTGGGATTTTAATAGGTTTCACTCTGTTGGCCATGTTGGTCTTGAACTCCTGACCTTAGGTGATCCGCCTACCTTGGCCTCCCAAAGTGCTGGGATTACAGGCATGAGCTGCTGTGCCCAGCCTTAACCATTTTTTTGAGTACCCTTTATTTACAGTTGAGCAATTTACAGTTAGAGAAAAGACTGATTAGGGATAAGTGGCATAGTTGGTTTCGCTGTTTTCAATGTATTATGTAAATTAAGAGCCCCAAAACTACCTTTGCTTCGTTGTTGTAAACCATTGGTTATGGAAGTTTCTGGAACAGCCAGGCCCTAGTTAGAGTGATGAAATCTTAAGCAACACTTAAGGGTATTTTGGTTTAACTTCACACACTTGAAGTAAGAAGAATATAGTCTCAAGAGCTTACACTACCAAAACATTGGGGAGAAAGGCTTTCTCATCAGAATATCTTGGTATACATGCTAAATACAAAGGTTATGGAATATAGTCTTCATCACATAATCTAAAAATTGTTAATAGATGTGGTAAGGTATTGGTATTTGCTTTTCATAATAAATGCGCTCTTTAGAATTGGTGTATAAATCTTTTTTCTTTTGTTTTTGAGTTGGAGTTTCACTCTCGTTGCCCAGGCTGGAGTGCAATGGCACAATCTCGGCTCACTGCAACCTCCGCCTCCTGGTTTCAAGTGATTCTCCTGCATCAGTCTCCTGAGTAGCTGGAATTACAGACAAGCACCAGCACGCCCGGCTAATTTTTGTATTTTTAGTAGAGATGGGGTTTCTCCATGTTGGCCAGGCTGGTCTTGAACTCCCAACCTCAGGTGATCCTCCTGCTTCAGCCTGGAAAAGTGCTGGGATTACAGGCGTGAGCCACCACACCTGGCCTTTATTTTTTTTTTTTAATTTTTAGAAATGTTAGAGTCATACAATCTTTTTCAAAATGAATCTCTAAAGTCCACTAAGAGTGTTTTTAAGGTAAATAAATCCTATGATGAAGAGTTTTGGATTATTACCTTAAAAATCAATTTTCAGTCATCAGAAATACTTTTGAAGTATATATGTATTTTGCTTTCTTCTCGGGGGTCACAAACTGGTGGCCAAATGGCAGAAAACACCTGCAAGTGTGTTTTTCTTGGCCAACACAGTGTTTTCCCAAACTTGACTTTGTGAATGTCTTTAGGCAGAACATATACCCCTTCTAGTTCAACCATATCCTTACTGCTATACACCACTTAACACATTTATATCAGTTCCATGGTCTCACTGTATAGATGGATTAATTGATACTTTCCTTACAATGTTTTAGCCTCCTCAGGAAGATGAAGAAAATTAGTATACATTATGTACAACAATGGTGAGGCTTAAATTTTCAGTTATTTTAAAGCCTAGCCTTCTAAATATTCAGAGGGTAAGCTGTAGTCTCAGGCTGCATAATACTAATTCTGGGATTTTAAATTCCCTTAACATTTGTTTTAGAGCTCAGAAATTACATTGAAGGTTATACTAAACAGGTTCTGATTAATGTGGCTAAAAGTGTGAAGTACTCTCTTTTTAATGTGTACCTTGAATAAGATTTGGGTTAAGTCTTAATTTATATTCAAGTAGACATAAATAGATTGCCTCACTGTTCTTAAGATATTAAATGAACTTGCAATTAACTTCTTCGGTAGCTAGGTAGTCACCTTGTTGAACAACTGGGCAAGTGTTACGCAGAAAGCTCAAGTTAAGGAACTTGTGAGCCACCAACATAGGTACTCAACTTGCATTGAACTGTGAGTGTCTGATGTAGACCAGAAAGTACTATTTAATATCTGAATGCCTTAATTGTATATTTCTTACTGATAGTGAAGTTCTGATTTTGGGGTTTTGCCTCTTTCAGCTGAGTCTAGAGATGTGAAACTTTAGAATTATTACAGCAGAAATAGTTGCTCATGGTTTTGGAGCACTTTGTGGCACTATGCATATCTCCCTCATGTAAACCTCACAGCAATGCTGTGTGGTGGGTACTAGTATTCATCTCATTTTACAAATGAGGAATTTAAGGTTTAGTCAAGGAGAACACCTTCCCTAGAGTCTCACAGCTAGTAAGTAGCAAAACAATGACTCGGGCCCAGAACTGTCTGACTGCAGAGCTCATGCTCTTAACCAGTATGGTTTACTGTTTTTGCCTACGGCTTCCCTATGTCTTGCTTTACTACCTTTAGATATCATATTTAGTGATGGTTTTAAAGTAGCTGGGATCTCCATGTGCTATTACATCTGCCCAGTTTTGGAGCAGTGTCTCTTACCCATAATTTAGTCAGATTGCAGCATTGATCCAAGTGTGTTTACACTTGAGATCATAAAACATGAGGACACTCAAAATTTTGAACTCTAACACATTGCTGCTTTTTCTTGCCTATTATACTGTCAATTAATACTCAAAAGGAAGAACTGTGCTTTCTTCCTCAAAAAGAAGAAGATTTATGATCAGGTGGTGATAAAGATGAATTCCATACTTTTTTTTTTTTTAAGAGAGAGTTTCACTCTTGTTGCCCAGGCTGGAGTGTAGTGGTGCGCTCTCGGCTCACTGCAACCTCTGCCTCCCAGGTACAAGCAATTCTCCTGCCTTAGCCTCCCAAGTAGCTGGGATCACAGGTGTGTGACCCCATGCCCAGGTGATTTTGTATTTTTAGTAGAGATGGAGTTTCTCCATGTTGGTCAGGTTGGTCTTATACTCCCGACCTCAGGTGTTCTGCCCACCTAGGCCTCCCAAAGTGCTGGAATTACAAGTGTGAGGCACCATACCTGGCCAAAACAAACTTTTTAATATAGTTTTGTCACAGATCTAGTCATAGAATGATTATAGTCTTCTTTCTTTTTCTTAAGCAGTGATAAACTTGTTAATGGGAACAAAAGGGAACCAGTAAGAAATACACTGAAGTATGGTCTATTGTTTTAGAATAATTTGTTAAATGGACCAGAGTAACATAGTGCAACATGCATCACCTTTTACCAGAAAATGACTGATTGTCTTAAGTTTACTTGAACAGATTTCAGTCAGGAAAAAACCTTGCTCAATTGTTTTCTTGAATTTATTCAACAAACAATTGAAAATAATATTTTAAAGGACATAATCTCCTGAGATTACCTCTTACAATTGAATGAGATCCAGTTTGTACATGCCATGTAAGTAAATTTATAACCTACTATGCTTTAGGGCCTCTTGCTACCTTAGATTGACACATATTTAAGAAAAATAATTTCATTTCAATAGTAGCGTGATCAAACATCATTAGAAAGATCAAACATCATTAGAAATTTGCTGGAGATGTGAATGCAATCTAAACCATATGTGATTCTAAAATTTTTTCTGCCATTAACTCCCTCCATACATGTGAATCATTGAGTTGATTTTATAGTGAAATACCTTATGAGCCATTCTTAGGGTTTCTGAGAGGGACTGTGAAGTTTTTCCTTGCTTAAGTTCAATTAAGTTTTCATTACAGAGTCACTATAACATGAAAAGGAACCAGTGTGAACACTTTTATACTTATTCCCCTCTATTTTAAAAATAACTTGATTATGGATTTGTATTTCTGGCATTGGTTTTTGAAGCTTTGCGCTTTCATTCTTTCTAGTCTGTTTAAAAATCACTGGAGAGTTTAAGATGGCAGCTGACTAAAATAGGCCTTTGAGGTCTTTTGGTCTTCTAAAGGAGGAAGGCCACGTTTTAGGCCCAGTTTCTTATTTGAAGGATGTTTTCAAAATGTACAGTGGCTAAAGTTACCTTGTAAGCTGTAATTTTGAGTTTATGATGGTTGTCTTCAAGTTTGGGGAAAACTAGTGGCAAAACAAAAAAGCAAATCACGTTAGAGTAGTTCGTAGAGCAATTCCTAGAGATATATTTCTTACCTGACCTCTTCTGTCTACCCTGTGTCTTTGCATTATTTAATACTTGGAAAAACCCACATAGCATTAAAAACAAAGTACTACTGAACAAAGTGATAAATACGTTTTCTTAAATCTTTCTTTTCTAACTACAGGAACATTTAAACTTACAATAGAATTCACTGAAGAATATCCAAATAAGCCACCTACAGTTAGATTTGTCTCTAAGATGTTCCATCCAAATGGCAAGTATCACTTTTAGTACAGTTTTAAACTACTACAGTGTTTATTATGCAGAATTCCACAGTTCCTGTGTATTTTGTGGTGCCTGAGTATTTGTTTAGGCAGCTTGCTGCTTCCTGAAAGCCGAACTTGTTCTTGGTTGTCTGTGACTGTCTTGTCCTAGAACTGAAGCAGTGGAAGTATTTTCCCTTTGCTTGGAGTCTGGGAGCCTCCTGACTTTGATGATCTTTTTCATTTACTTATTAAACAACGAAGGATGCTCTTGAGGTCTCCTTTTAATGCTAGGCCAGATTGGGATAGTCTTGTGTTGTAATTATTTTCACTAGCATTTAGAAAAGTCAGTTTCACTGGATGCATATCAGAATTACTGTGTAACATTTTCAAAATACAGATGACTTTGCCCCACTCCAGACCTACTGAATATCAGATTCTGTTGTTGAGGGCCAGGCATACATTATCAGAAAAGCACCACAGGTGATTCTAACTTACCACTTTACACTTTTTAAAATAGTGGTAAGCCTAGAACAGCTTGCCTTTTATTTAGGTTAATGAAGTATTTTTCAGGGTATCAGATATTTTTATCTTTTTGCCAAACTGAAACTCTGTGAACTCTGAGCCATCTTTTGTTATTTCAGTTAGGGGATACAGCCTACAAATTTGGTGGAATGAATTTCCCATATGTCTGTGGAGAGCTAGGGACCCTGTTCAAAAATGTTTCTGATTTCCTGGATAATAGGGCAGCCTTTTCCGAAGAATGAACACTAAGTATCTTTCAGTTTTTTACTGGTTACATCTGACATTCTCTGATCATCCAGATTATTTCACTAGTAATGGTTATGACTCATCTTTTTAGGCAGTTAACTAGGAAGCAATCTAGGAATCTTTAAACTTCAGAAGTAAAGTATTCTTGACTATTTTTGTTTTGTCTGTAATGTTAAAACCTTAGTGGTCTTGTTAGGTTTAATGTACCTACTTCTTTGTTCATAGTCTATGCAGATGGTAGTATATGTCTGGATATACTTCAGAACCGTTGGAGTCCAACCTATGATGTGTCTTCGATTCTAACATCCATACAGGTGAATTTTTCCTTATTTGACAAACCTATAACTTTTAGTATGTTTATATTAGCAATTGAATTGTTTTTGAAAGTCATAATGTAATAGACCATTTTATTTTTGGTCAAAGCTTGTTTGTTTTATAGATGAAAAGTAGAGCATTAAGACCCAAGCTGGGACCGGGCGTAGTGGCTCACGCCTGTAATCATAGCACTCTGGGAGGCCGAGGCGGGTGAATCATGAGGTCAGGAGTTCAAGACCAGCCTGGCCAAGATGGTGAAACCCCATGTCTACTTAAAATACAAAAATTAGCCAGGTGTGGTGGCAGATGCCTGTATTCCCAGCTACTTGGGAGGCTGAGGCAGAGAATTGCTTGCACCTGGGAGGCTGAGGTTGCAGTGAGCTGAGATCGTGCCATTGCACTCCAGCCTGGGCGACAGAGCAAGACTCCGTCTCAAAAAAAAAAAAAAAAAAAAAAAAAAGACCTAAGCCACATATATTTTCCTAGCTACTAGCAGATTCATATAATTCTGGGTTTATGTGCTGAAGAACTGTAGCTGTACTTCGGACAATTCAGTTGAGTGTCACTACCTTATAAAATAGCTTGTTTGTTTTGCATTAAGGACCTGACATTTAAAAAATTGTCTTTCTAGTCTCTGTTGGATGAACCCAATCCCAATAGTCCAGCAAACAGCCAGGCTGCTCAGCTGTACCAGGAGAACAAGCGGGAATATGAAAAGCGTGTTTCTGCAATAGTAGAACAAAGCTGGCGCGACTGTTGACCCCGGGTACAGTTAAAGAAGAAGCTGGCCATAAGAAAAATATATATTGATGTGTTTGTCACCTCCCTACTCTTGTCATTACATTTACTTTATTAAAAGCAAAATAGCTGTTGTGCTGTTTCCATCTTCCCTCGCCAAGTTTTCCTACCCCTTCTACCTTCTCCTTAAACATCAGAAAACACCTTCTTTGAAATCAAATGTACTGTACCTGGGTTACTTGCAAAAAATTACTAATGCTTAAGTTTTTCTGTTGTATTTCATTTCCAGTTTTCAGGCAGTTATTTTTATTATTGGACTTTAAGATTTAAGGTAAATTGTTACACAAGAGGTGCATATGCATAGCTTGATGACCAGGATGTTATTTTTAACAAAATGATTGCTGAAGTGTTTCATCCCGGCTAGTCCTTCACTTCTGTTGGATTTAGAAGTGAATGTGTTTGGAATGTGGTCTACAGAGAAAAGAAACAAATCCATGTAAACAATTTTGAGAAGTATGGGAGCTAGAAGTCCTGTTGTTACTAGGATCTCACGCATATGAATTACTAGATAGTATTTACTGGCAAAAAGGAGAATGTTGAAGGACTCAAAGGAGTACAGCAATTGTAGTAACTGACAAATCCTCTCTGCAATCTACTGACTGGGCACAGCCTTGCTGAGTTTCAGAATATTGGTCTTCTGGGTTTTTGCTTTTTAAAATAGGTGTGGGAGCAGAATGGAAACAACCATCAGTTTTTGAGCTAGGGAAAGTTGGAGATCCTTTCATCTTTTTAAAGGGTCATTGCTGCCCTAGATGAATAAAACTCAATTCACCATCTTTATTTTATAGTCTTAATAAATTCAAGGAAGGGAGCATAGCATATCTGTGGCAAACTATTTTCCACTCAAATCCTGAGTTATTGCTGCATGCTTTAATTTCTTCCCTTTCAGCATCTGAGAACCTTAAAGCCAACATCTGCAATCTTTTTTTGGATATTTATACTTTTAGATATATAGTACCTTTAAGTAGCAGTATGGGACAAGGCTTTTAAATGTTTTGTCTAATGTTCTATTGTCACCTTTTATGCATTTATCACTTCTAAATCTAACTTTGCACAAGTAACCCATGTAAAAAAAAATGTACATTTTTCAAAAGTTGTAAATAAAAATAACCTTAAAATTTCATAGTCAAGGTATAATTTTATTTTAGCTCAGTAGAAACTTTTTGTATTGGTTTCTTATTGGGATCTCATATGTGCTTAATTTCGCCCCCTTAAACATTAAGGTAAAACTCATTCTGGGAGCGGAAAAGCCAAGACATACTGTTGGAGAGAACCTTTTTTTTTTCTTTTCAGTCGTAAGTGGTGATGCTTTTTAAACATCTTAACAGAATATAAAAGTATTAAATGAAACAAAGTTACCTCAGTATGCATTACAGTCAATCAAGGGAATGAAGTTATGAGGTGGCGAGTGGAGGGGGGAATGAACTAACTTGGGTATTTAGCACCACCCTCAGAGACCAAGATCTAACTCAGGCGTCCCCAAACTACAGCCCGAGAGCCGCATGCGGTCTCCTGAGGTCATTTATCCGGCCCCCCGCCGCACTTCAGGAAGGGGCACCTCTTTCACTGGTGGTCAGTGAGAGGAGCACAGTATGTGGCGGCCCTCCAACAGTCTGAGGGACAGTGAACTGGCCCCCTGTGTAAAAAGTTTGGGGACGCCTGATCTAACTTGTTGATCCTGACATTCCACCTCTTTAAAAGCCCTAGCTCAAAAACAAACTACCAAATTATTAGATGGCATTTTAAATCCTGTGTAAAGTTTGGGAGTACAGGTATCCGCAATCATTTTGATTAAACAAACCTGCTTTTTTCTGAGCAGCAACTCATCTCATTTTAAAGAGGCAAGGACAATGACTGTAAAAACGATCACCTGGGTGGACGCAGTGGCTCACACCTGTAATCCCAACACTTTGGGGCCTCCCAAAGTGGGTGGATCACCTGAGGTCAGGAGTTCGAGACCTGCCTGGACAACATGACGAAATCCCGTCTACTAAAAATTAAAAAATTAGCTAGGAATGGTGGTGCATGCCTGTAATCCTAGCTACTAGGGAGGCGGAGGCAGGAGGATCGCTTTAACCTGGGAGGCAGAGGTTGCAGTGAGCCAAGATCATGCCACTGCACTCCAACCTGGGCAACACAGGGAGACCCTGTCTCAAACAAACAAAAAAACAATGATCACCTCTTGGTACTTGTTTGGTTGGGTGGATGGGGCTAAATGAAGTCCTTATGACACATGTATCCCATTCATCCTTTAAGACGTAGTACTTGAAGCCTCAGTATGGGGGAGTACAATCTGCACTAATGACCACATTACTTGGATTGTTTCACCTAGGAGCAGTGTCCTTACATTTGCTTAATATTTTCCCCCAAGTTCATTTCTACTTCAAAGTAGAACCACATTAAATTTCTCCATTTGGTGGATTTGTTTTACATTAAGTTTTTCATCCTGCCACATGGCTGAGTGCCTTAAATATTGACACTGTTAATCATACCTGAAAAAATTTAAGGCGAGACTCAGAATGGTCAGGTTTAATAACTTTCTTCTTTTGTACACCTAAGAAACACTATTCCCAATCTCTTTCATGGGATAATCTGTTTAAAACCTTACAACAGAGACAACAAGCTGACCTCCCAAAACAACATATGCGTGATCAAAGGCACCACAAACCATTCATTTGAACATTTTATGCTAATTGCCTCTTTCTACCTTTAAAATTTTTAACAAACACCACAATACAATACAGGCTATCTGCATGTATTGATAACAAAGTTAACAAAAACAAATGTGCAAAGTCCCTTTTTCAAATAGCAGTCAGGTTTGAACGTTTCAATTCTGCACCAGCTGATGTGGGGAAGGAGGTATGATTTGGAATCAAAGCTGCAATTAGAATCCTTTATTTAGGACCTATCTCCAGCTTCAGGGGTTACTCATAGCAAAGAAAATGCGGCCGGGCGCGGTGGCTCAAGCCTGTAATCCCAGCACTTTGGGAGGCCGAGGCGGGTGGATCACGAGGTTGAGAGATCAAGACCATCCTGGTCAACATGGTGAAACCCCGTCTCTACTAAAAAATACAAAAAACTAGCTGGGCGTGGTGGCGCGTGCCTGTAATCCCAGCTACTCAGGAGGCTGAGGCAGGAGAATTGCCTGAGCCCAGGAGGCGGAGGTTGCGGTGAGCCGAGATCGCGCCCATTGCACTCCAGCCTGGGTAACAAGAGCGAAACTCCGTCTCAAAAAAAAAAAAAAAAAAAAAGAAAATGCATTGTATACTACTAAAAAAGAATCCCAACAAAATGCATATTTCCATTCATTTTGCAATCAAAGGGGAGGAAAAAATCCAAAAAGTAGATCTGTGAGACTCAATGCTAGATATAAAATGGAAAGCACAGTTCCTCAGTATAAAAAACATTTAAGTAATCCAAATACAATTTGAAACTGCTTATGTACCTGTGCAGATTTTATAGGAAGGTTACTGGGTTAAGAATGACTACATTTCAAAGAAAGGGAAAATACAGGAACCAACTGAAAGGGGACAAAATGGAACAACAGTAAGCTTGTCAGCAGCTCATTCATGCCAATGCCATTCTCAACATTATTTTATCTTCAAGCAAGTTAGGTGATTTTGCTCTAATTCTGTATCAGTATCACAGATCCTAACAAGTTAGGCAATCTGGCCCTTCAAATCCAGTAACCAAATTTGTATCTATTTGGCGCAATTATTTGGCGAGCCTTCCTAACTCTAACTACCTTAATATTCTGTTCTGCTGGACTCACCTAGACAAACCAGATTCATATTTAACATTCGCTTACCTTTCCCCACCTTAAAATCATTTGGGGAAGAAGAAAGAAATGTAAAGAGAGGAATCAGTCAAGTTTTCATATCCCTTAATCCCCAAAGCCACTCTTATTCAGAAAATTGGAGACAGGTTTTTTCTAACTCACAAATTCAACCATAGCTTCTCAAGATTGGCATGAACCTTGCAAGTTTAAAAAGAAACCTGGGCCAGGTGCCGTGGCTCATGCTTGTAATCCCAGCACTTTGGGAGGCCGAGGCGGGTGGATCACAAGGTCAAGAGATCGAGACCATCCTGGTCAACATGGTGAAACCCCATCTCTACTAAAAATACAAAAAAAAATTAGCTGGGCATGGTGGCGCGTGCCTGTAATCCCAGCTACTCAGGAGGCTGAGGCAGGAGAATTGCCTGAACCCAGGAGGTGGAGGTTGTGGTGAGCCAAGATCGCGCCATTGCACTCCAGCCTGGGTAACAAGAGCGACACCCCGTCTCAAAAATAAAAATAAAATAAAATAAAAAGAAACCTGTAGGCTGGGTGTGGTGGCTCATGCCTTTGTAATCCCAGCACTTTGGGAGACTGAGGAGGGTAGACTGCTTAAGTCCAGGAGCTTGAGACCAGGCTGGCCTGTCTGGCAGAGACCAGAATCCCATCTCTACTAAAAATACAAAAAATTAGATGGGCCAGGTCATGCACACCTGTAGTGCCAGCTACTCGGGAGTTGGAGGTTACAGTGAGCCGAGATTGTGCCTGCACTCCAGCCTGGGTAACCAGAGTGAGACCCTGTCTCAAAAAAAAGAAAAAAAAATTGTGGGAGCCACGGTGGCTCAGGCCAGTTGTCCTGGCACTTGAGGAGTTGAGGCTACATGTTCGACGCCAGCCTAGGCAGGTAAGAACCTCTCATTCATTTAAAAAAAAAATTGTAATCATATAAAATCTATAAATATTTTGCTTAGTTCTTTTTGCCCATGTTAATATGAAGTGCCAAAATAAAATAGACACATTTCTCTTCCTACCAACATTAGGAAAGGCTATGCACTGTAGGAAGACGGTTAATGGAAAGCAATGACCATACTGGTTAGTCACCATAAATGATTAAGTTACACAGATCCATCTCTTTATATTTTAAAAATAATTTAACTACAGTGGGCAGCTGCTTAATGTAAAATATAAAAAACAGGGCCAGGCACGGTGGCTCATGCCTATAATCCCAGCACTTTGGGAGGCCAAGGTGGGCCTATCACCTGAGGTCAGGAGTTCGAGACCAGCCTGGCCAATGTGGTGAAACCCCCCATCTCTACTAAAAATGCAAAAACTAGCCAGGCATGGTAGTGAGTGCCTATAATCTCAGCTGCTTGGGAGGCTGACACTGGAGAATTGCTTGAACCCCAGAAGTGGAGGCTGCAGTGAGCCGAGACCACACCACTGCACTCCAACCTGGGCAACAACAGCAAAATTCCATGTCAAAAAAAGAAAAAAAAAAACAACCAGGGGAAAGGAAATTACTATTTCTTGTTGGCCAATTACATGTCAAGCATGGTGCTAAATATTTTCAGGCATCGTAAACCACCTAATTGTCCCAAACATCATTTCATTAGAGGTGTTTAATGATCAATGGTAATATTCACCTGTGCTGTTATGAGGTTATACTTGATCTAGCTGAGATACAAAAATCATATAAAAGGCAGCAGCCTAAGATTTGGTTGAAGCGAGCGTGTTGGTCCACAGGAAAAAAGTGATAGCTGACTGATTCCTATCTGTTAAATCAGTACCTTCATCCACACGTGCTCTGGGTGTTGAAATATTCTGCGCAAACACCACTTCCCTTCTCCAAAGACCCAGTGTTGCTACAAGGCTGCTGCCCGGAAATGAGCACGCCACCATTCTCATCAACTTTGGCTCCTTTTTATTCAGGAAGTATACACTAATTCTTTTTATACATTTTTTTACATTCCAGAAATAAGCGAAAATAGCAGTTTTAAATATGTTACAAAGTTGGCTTTTCCGGCTAAATAAGCTTTTTGAGAGAGGGACCAGCCAACTGACCTTTGCATCAAAGCACCAATGTGTCTTCAGTCTTTTACCAAGCTCTACCACAGCTGTGGCTGCCTTGGATGTCCTGCACATCCAAACCGTGTGAAAGCTATAATGGAGAGTTGCTGTGAGTCTCTCTGCAAGGCACCAAGAACAAACAGTTCAAGCTTCCTTTCTTCAGATTGAACCAAAGTTTTTGAAACTTTCAACTGCTCTCTCAAGTAGTGCTCTCTCAGCGTGAAGACTAGATTTTGTTAAAACCCATATATCACAAGATACAGTAAACCACTTCCAATATTCTGGAAATCACATGGTAGAAGTTACAAATAAATGAACACTAAAATTACTTTAAGAAAGTTTTACATCATTTAGTTGGTAAGGACATTTACATGTACAGCACAATTTACTGTCAAACATTCTATAACTGGCTTCACACAAAGATGAAAATAGATTAATACAAAATGATCTGACATTTTCAGTAAATCTGGAATTAAGAGATGGTAGTCAATATCAACTTTACATATTGTTGCAGATTGCTGTGCTATGCCCTTTAAAATGAGAATTTCTTTCTTGGGGTAAAATTCCATTTGGCTTGTCAAACTGCTAAAATCTGAGGGACACAGCAATATAAAAGACACAAACAGTAACTGCACAATATCTGCTGGATTAAGCTAATACAAGTGGACAGAATTCTTTAGGTTCCAATATTTAATAAACCACTATATGAAATGAACAAGGTGAGACATCTTAAGATGAATATACTCTGCAACCAGGACATGTAGCATTTCTTAAATTCAAAAATCTGCCTCATTAGGCATTTACAAAATAAATTAGGAAGATCTCAATTTGCTTGAGGCATTGGAAGATCTCAATTGGCTTGAGGCATAGGAAGATCTCAATTTGCCTGAGGCATAACAAGCTCGTAATGGCCCACTTGGCCTTCCTGTTTGAGCTGATCTAGTAGGTCTTCCTTCCGTCTTTTTCTACCTACCACCAGGTACCTATCATGGCCCACCCCATGAGACTTACTCTTAAGACCATACTTCTGGGCAATCTGATGTATTTGCTTCCGTTCGTCATTAGTCAGCTCTCTAGAAAAAGTCAAATCTGTGTGGCTCTCAGAGCGGGCGTAGTTTCTGATGATCTGTTCAATATCTCTCTTAGCAATTTTATTCACCCTCTCTACATCCAGACCAAGCCCCTCCCGCTTATGCTGCTCTTTGACTGAGATAGGCTCCCGTATGCCCTCACCAGATTTACCTAAACCACCACCAGTCCAACCCATCTTTCTCAGCAGCTGATTTCCAATGTTATCTTCTCTGATTTGCTGTTTATAAGCCTCCTCTGCTGAGCGGCCCTGAATTTCATTTCTTGAAATCACATCTTCAACAGTTCCTTTCTTCAAGTTGTTAATAACAGTTGGCTGGGTCTTTTTGAGGGTTTTAACAGCTTCCCCAGCAGCTTCATATTTGACAGTTTTCTTCACCCCAACTGCTTCTGCAATTACTTCGCTCTCTAGAATCACTTTGCATTTCCAGCGGAGGCCTGTCATCCTTTCATAGACATACTCAACTGTCATTCGGTTAAACTGAGCTGTGTCGTTCAGCGTGCACACGGGATTGGAAGAATTCTCGTAAACCACAAGATCCTTTATATCTTTCTTCTTTCCAGATCCTCTGGGTGAAGGGCCTGTATGGCATTGTGAACTTTTGACAGATGGGTAAGTGGGCTGTGTTTTTTGAAGAATTTTCAAAGCCTCGTCAGCAGCTGCATGTTTACTTGTTTTCTTGGTTCCATAACCTTCAGCTAAGCAGTGATCTTGTAAAAACACTCGACAACGCCATGTGCGATTTGGCATCATCTCATATTTGTATTCAACTGACATCTTGTTGAATGAGGCAGAATTGTTAAGGATACCAATTGCATCATTTGCATTTTCTGTAATGACAAAATTGGTCCAGTGTTTGGCGGAAGCATTAAAAATTGGCTGCCCGGAAGCATCTTTACCCAGCACCACCAAGTCCTCTGGTGGTTTCAGAGCTGGAGGAAATTCATAGGAGGGCACGCCAATCTGACACACCACGAGGTCCTCTCCAAACGTATGCTTGAATTTCCGCCGGACAACTCTAACTTCAATACGTTTCTGCAAGAGTTTTACAGCTAGCTCAGTAGCTCGATCCCTGGACCCATTCTTGCTGCCAGCATAACCTGTAGTTAAGTAGATATTTTGGCATCTAACTTCACAAGCATAGCCATCAGTTAGAAGTTTTTTATTTTTGGGGATGTCGGCAGGAGGAATTTCCTTTAAAGGAGCATATATGTACTCAGGATTTGTCTTACATGCCTGAATACAACGAGTTAACATGTATGTGTAATTAATTTTATCAGATCCAGAAGTCATCTCTGGATTAGAAAGGTTCTTCCAGATAGTCGCCGTTAATTTTTCAATAAAATACTGCTTCTCGGCTACCACGGACTCGGGAAATGTCTGTGATGGTGAAGGCTCAGGAGTTGACTGAGAGTTTGCCTGCTGTGATGTGCTGCTTGGGGTGGGGTTCCCACTGTCAAAATACATGTTGGCTGTTACAGGCTGGTCTTTTGTGAAAATGAATCCTGATGAATCACAATACTGAGAATTCCCATCTTGTATACTGAAAGAGTCTTGAGTATAATCTTGGTAGATGTCTCTTGGCATGCTGGCAAAATGTGTTTGTTCATTTACCTCTTTTGTTTGAGGGCCATAAGGATCTTCCTGTCTTTCATCTTTTGAACTACTAGCTACAAAATGTACAGGCTCAAAACGAGGTCTCGCATGGAATTTGGAACCGGCTTGCTTTTTAGGAGGATTTTGACCTATAGAATGAGTGAAATTTACAATTCATTAAAATGGGGAATATTTCAAAAGAACCAAGCAGGAAAACAGTACCAACCATATTATTTGCAAGCTGCATTGTTGGTACGAGATACTTCCCATCACAAAAACTTCATGTCATTTGGGTGAAGGGACTCAATTATCAATCTAAGATTCCAGCATAAGGAGGGATGCTCCCTATCTTTCGACATGTAAGGGAAGACCTTTGATAGAAAATATACGATTGAGTCAAGTATGCAGGTCACCACCACACATGACTGGTAGATGCTTTTGCATCAAAAATGAGCTAAAGCACAGGTGAAATACACTCTTTGCCCTGTGCTGGAAGGTGAAGTGAACTGGAAGACTGTTCCAGTACAATCTCATATCACCCATGCTGAAAAGCTCACTTAAGGACTACAAGTGGAACAGATGGCTCTAATGCAAGAAAGATGATGACCAGAGGCAGTTACAAAGCCTTTCTCTTTTGTATCAGAAGTGAGTGACTCTGTGATGGTGCTTTACATAGTTGTGACTAAAACTCAAAGAAAAAGAATTATCAAAAGATTCCAAAGGTTTTCAACTTCAAAACCTCAGTTCTGACCCATTCATCACAAAAGGGTGTTTGCTCTATTTTCTTTCTAGAACAACAGCTGGAAACTAATGATTTAGGGGAGATGCCAAATTTAAAGCTATGGAAGAACTCAGATGAGGCTATGCCAGACACCAGAGCTTCCTTCCTATAACACTGCTCAGTAGAAAGCTCATCCATCCCAGACCCATTCAAGAGGATTTAGTGACTTAGATGCTCAAGTGATCACAATATAAGATTCTAGTTAGAGGGAGGTTCCATGGCATAAACTTCAAGGATTGCATGATTTCAGTATTCTTAGTTTCAATTCTATTTAGCATCCTCAAAAAAATGTATATAACTAAAAGCAAAAACTTTTACATGTGTGTAAGAACTAATGTTACCAATGTTATTTGAAATAATATACCACACTCATATCATTTTTTAAAGCCATTTGTTTCTTGAAATCCCATCTTTCAGAAACAAGTATACTCACCATCACATGTTGAGAGGTGACGTTTTTGACCTTTGGAAGACTTGGGCAGCATCAGATCATATGAAGGCATCTCCCCGATATCAATACCTTCAGCCATTTGGAGAATTTTTTCCATCAAGCGTGGGCTGTACCTATTTAAGTTAATATAATCTACAGTTAAAACAGGTAGGGATGTCTTTTTTAAAAAGCTCCTAAATAAGCCAGTCTTATAATTGTTCCCACAAGACTTTATCAACAGGGTATCTTGGCTATAAAACCAAAGAATCGGCCCTAAAATATTTACCTATCAAACGAATAATTATGTTACTAATTAGGAATCAAGATTTTTCAGCATAGTAAGATATACAAATATAAACTCAAGAAATTTTAGCAAAAATGTCTTTCATTTGAATTGAAAATATCAGTATAAATTCATGATTTGTTTTGATTGTGGTCTCTATCATTTCTCGTGAAATGGAATGAAGGTCCTTAGAGAAATGGTTGATTCTAAGCGTGTGGCAGGAAGTGTCTAAGGTGAGCCTGAAAAATCTTGCACCCAAAAACAAGAAAACTGTCAAAGATCAAAGGAGTTGTGTCAAATGGATTCAGACGCCAATCTGAATAGACTCCTACTGGCAAAGTGAGCCAACTCAAGTATCAATAACAACAATTATGGCAATGGATTGAAACACATCAAACATGCTGAAAATCCATTAGTTCATAATGATACTTAGAAATTATTATTGGTCACCTTTGGAGGATGGAAGGAACCATGTCATTATTCTGCAAACAGGTATATACCAAAGGAAGAAAGCAAACATTTATCCTGTATTTTCCTGTAAAAATTGTACTTCAGAGCAACCACAGAGCTGATGAGGAGAATGTCTTTTGGAGAAGCATTCCAGCTAATAAATGAAGGAATCATGAACTACTACCATTCTATAACCCGTAATAAAATAAAAAACCATCATCAGACCGGGCATGGTGGCGCACGCCTGTAATCTCAGCACTTTGGGAGGCTGAGGCAGGTGATCACTTGAGGTCAGGAGTTCGAGACTGGCCAACATGGTGAAACTCCATCTCTACTAAAAATATAAAAATTATGCAGGCGTGGTGGTGGGCACCTGTAATACCAGCTACTTAGGAGGCTAAAGTAGGAGAATTGCTTGAACTTGGGAGGTGGAGGCTGCAGTGAGCTGAGATCACACCACTGCACTCCAGCCTGGGTAACAGAGTGGGACACCCTCTAAAAAAAAAAAAAAAAAAGATTATCAATGGCTGCTAAACCTATTAGGTGAAAAGCTAATGGTGGAGAGCTGACAATCAGACCCATGCAAATATTTTCAACTGATTACTGACAAAAGTGCCGAGGTAATTCAACAGAGGAAGGATATCTATAATCTAAAATAAACCTCACACCTTACACAAAACTAACTCAAAATGCATCATAAACCTAAATGTAAAACTATAAAACATTTATTGAAAAAAAAAAACAAAGAAAATCTGCAGGATCTAGGGCTAGGCAAACAGTTCTTAGGCTTGACACCAAAAGCATGATCCATAAAGAAACTGGTGATAAAAACGGACCGCATTAAAATTAAAAAGTTTTGGCTGGGCACGGTGGCTCACTCCTGTAATCCCAGCACTTTGGGAGGGCAAGGTGGGCAGATCACTTGAGGACAAGAGTGCGAGACCAGCCTGGCCAACATGGCAAAACCCCATCTCTACACAAATAGAAAAAAAATTAGCTGGGCATGGTGGTACACACCTGTAGTCCAAGCTACTTGGGAGGCTGAGGCAGGAGAATTGTTCAAACCCAGGAGGCAGAGGTTGCAGTGACCTGAGATTGTGCCCCTGTACTCCAGTCTGGGTGAGAGAGCAAGATTTCATCTCAAAAAAACAAAAAAACAAAAAAAACGAAAAAAAGTAAAAAGTTTTTCTATTCAAACACTGCAAAGAGGACAAAAAGTCAAGCTGCAGACTGGGAGAAAATATTTGTAAACCACACACTTGACAAGTCTAGTATGTGAAACTGAATAGAAAAAAAATCAAATTTAAAAATGAACAAAAGACATGAACAAAATATTTCACCAAAGAGGATAGACAGATTGCAAATAAGCACATGAAACAATGTTCATCACTAGCCACCAGGGAAATGCAATTTAAACCCACAATGAGGTATCACTATACACCTATTAGAATGGTCAAAATAAAAAAATAGTGACAATACCAAATGCTGACAAAAATAAGGAGAAACTGGATCACTCAGACATTGCTGGTGGGAATGGTACGGTCACAATGGAAAACAGTTTGTTAGTTTCTTATAAAACCAAACATCAGGCCGGGCATGGTGGCTCACGCCTGTTATCCCAGAACTTTGGGAGGCCGAGGCAGGCGGATCACCTGAGGTCAGGAGTTCAAGGCCAGCCTGACCAACATGGAGAAACTCCATCTGTACTAAAAATACAAAATCATCCAGGTGTGGTGGTGCATGCCTGTAATCCCAGCTTCTTGGGAAGCTAAGGCAGGGGAATTGCTTGAACCGGGAGGCAGAGGTTGTGGTGAGCTGAGATGGTGCTATTGCACTCTAGCTGGGACAACAAGAGCAAAACTCTGTCTCAAAAACAAAACAAACATACAAAAAAAACAAACATCAGTTACCACTTGATCCGGCAATTGCAATTACACTCTTGGACATTTATTCCAGAGAAATGAGAACTCATGTTCATACAAAAACCTGTACATGAATGTTCACAGCAGCTTTATTTATAACAGCCCAAAACTACAATCAGCCCAGACGTCCTTCAACAAGTAAATTGTTAGATTCTGGTCCATATACAACATGAAACACTACTTGGGACAAAAAGGAACAAACTTTTTTCTTTGAGAAAGAGTCTCGCTCTGTCGCCCAGGCTTGGAGTGCAGTGATTCGATCTCAGCTTCCTGAAACTTCTGCCTCCTGGATTCAAGTGATTCTCCTGCCTCAGTCTCCCGAGTAGCTGGGACTATAGGCATGCACCACCATGCAGGGCTAATTTTTGTATTTTAGGTATGACAGGGTCTCATTACGTTGGCCAGGCTGGTGTCAAACTCCTGATCTCAGATGATCTGCCCACCTCAGCCTCTCAAAAGTTCTGGGATTACAAGCATGAGCCACTGCACCCGGCCATCTCTTTGTATTATTTCTTACAATTACATGTGAATCTATAATTATCTCAAGAAAAATTTCAGTTAAAAAAGTTGATGGAGGACTTTATCATCTTATTATCACTAAAAGTGGGACAACCAAACATGTACCCCCCTGATGTGATACAATAGGATATACAGGGCACTATCTAGAAAGCATTACGGCTCTCCAAAGAATTGAACCTGAACCTAATCAAGTTCCTGACTCCCAGAAACACGTGCAACACCACAAGAATGGAACCATCCAACTCCAGAATGAGGGAACAGTATGTGACAGCCCGGTTTCCTCATCAAATAAATACTGTAGAATGAAAATAAAAGGAAGAGGAAATGGTTATAGGTTAAAGGAGACTGATCAATCAAATATATCGTATACACTTTGTATCATGAATGAATCAAATCATTTGTAAAAAGACACTTGAGACAAAGGAAGAAAACTGAACATCAAATAGGCATTGGGTGATTTTTAAGAAATTACCGTTAATTGGCCAGGCACAGTGGCTCACGCCTGTAATCCCAGCACTTTGGGAGGCTGACGCAGGTGGATCACCTGAGGTCGGGAGTTCGAGACCAGCCTGACCAACATGGAGAAACCCGGTCTCTACTAAAAATACAAAATTAGCCAGGCGTGGTGGCGCATGCCTGTAATCCCAGCTATTCGGGAGGCCGAGGCAGGAAAATCGCTTGAACCTGGGAGGCGGAGGTTGCAGTGAGCCGAGACTGTGCCATTGCACTCCAGCCCGGGCAACAAGAGCAAAAGTCCATCTCAAAACAAAAACACAAAACAAAACAAAAGACATTACCATTAATTTGTTGACTATGAATAATGGCATGGTGACTATTTTTAAAAATTCTTATCTGATACAGATGTATACTGACAAACGTACAGGTGAAATGATGTCAGGATTTTAAAAAATATAACTATCTCCCACAAAAAGCTAGGGCAGAACAGATGAAGGAAGAAGGGTAGTACGGGAGACTATTGATGACTGCTGAGAGATGGGTACCTGGGGTTCATTAAACTCTTTTCTACTTTGCTGTGTTTGAAATTTTAAGACAAAGCTTTAAAATACACACTTTTAAAGATGGCTCCTGGCTGGGCATGGTGGTTCATGCCTGTAATCCCAACACTTTGAGAGGTGGAGGTGGGTGGATCACTTGAAGCCAGGAGTTCAAGACCAGCCTGGGAAACATGGCATAACACCATCATTACAAAAACAAACAAACAACTTAGCCAAGCATGGTCACCCATGCCTGTGGTCCCAGCTACTTGAGAGGCTAAGGTGGGAGGATCACTTCAGATGGGAAGGTCAAGGCTACAGTGAGCTGTGATTGCACCACTGCAGTGTGGGTCACAGAGTGAGACCCTGTCTCTTCTTTTTTTTTTTTTTTTTGAAACGGAGTTTCGCTCTTGTTACCCAGGCTGGAGTGCAATGGCGCGATCTCGGCTCACCGCAACCTCCGCCTCCTGGGTTCAGGCAATTCTCCTGCCTCAGCCTCCTGAGTAGCTGGGATTACAGGCACGCGCCACCATGCCCAATTAACGTTTTGTATTTTTAGTAGAGACGGGGTTTCACCATGTTGGCCAGGATGGTCTCGATCTCTTGACCTCGTGATCCACCCGCCTCGCCTCCCAAAGTGCTGGGATTACAGACTTGAGCCACCGCGCCTGGCCTACTCTTTTTTTTTTTTTTTTTTTGAGTCGGAGTCTTGCTCTGTCTCCCAGGCTGGAGTGCAGTGGTCTGATATCAGCTCACTGCAACCTCCACCTCCTGGGTTCAAGCAAATTCTCCTGCCTCAGCCTCCCGGGTAGCTGGGATTATAGGCATGTTCCACCACGCCCAGCTAATTTTTGTATTTTTAGTAGAGGCAGGGTTTCTCCATGTTGGCATGGCTGGTCTTGAACTTCTGATCTCGGGTAATCCACCTGCCTTGGCCTCCCAAAGTGCTGGGATTACAGGCATGA